TATATCAAAAGGTAATTTACGACTAATTGCTGTGCCGCATTTATATGGTGGTGCAGTTCGCTGCTGAAATTCTGCTTTATGGTGGAAGGTCGGCGAGAAGAAGAGCGAAAGAAAAAATTGCACAATCGGTTGCGCGCGGTCCGATTAAATGGAAAAAAATGTCACTTTATTTACGCTCGTGTACGTACACATTCCGTCGATTATGGACTCAGGGCATAACACGATATGGGCTCTACGAGTCAATTTTATATTATCATGACGGGCGAAAATGTTTATCGCGAGTTGAGCGGGTCTCTTAATAAAACGTTCCTACCGCACGAGAAAGAGATGAGACATTTCGCAGACCCGTCGTACTTATACGGCTCATATTTTTTTCTCATGCCTCTGCTGCTGCTGCTGCGCTGTTTTGTAGTTACAATGGCATCGCAGCACTCGGCCTTTGGGCTGCGCGCGATGTTTCTTAATCCGTTTCGATGTTGCGCAACTCTTAATTTACCCGCGCGAGCTCTGTGTACTCGGCGTAGTCGTCGTCGTCGTCGTCGTCGTTGTTGTTGTTGTATTGTATACTACACAACGATGAATATACCTACGTAGAAAAATGCAGAGCTGCGAAACTCTTTGCCGCTCGGTCATAATCATATACACACAGGCAGCAGCGACGAGGAGCTCGCGTAACGCGTTTAGCGTGTGTAACACACGACGAGTCCTTTTCTTACATTCGTCGTCGCTGCAAATTGAATCCCGTGACATTCGCCTGTAGATGAAAAAAATTCACGTCAAAAATTGAAAATATTCGATCGAAGGCAAGCGAGCCTCGCTCCGACAATTATATATGACTGTATCATAATCGACCCCGGACTCGGACGTTTTATACAGTCGACCGAGCGCGACGAAGAATAAATTTCCACGGAATGTCTGTGTGTGCGTGTGTAATGTATGTGTGTAACGCGAATCGATGGAAAAGAAAACAAAGAGTCGACTGCTGTTTGTATGTATATATTGGATGCGCTGCGATTAACGTTATTACCGTATCGGACGCGCCCAATGGGCTTTCGGATCGCCTACTTATGAGCGAATTATCTTTTCTGCAATTATTCCTCGGCGATGTGTATAAAAAATGTAACGAAAAACAGAGCACACTTCTTCGCGTTCTTAAAAGCCAGAACCCCAGAAGCTCACGAATTTCGCTGTTTAATGATATTATAAATTCGTAACGATAACATCCGTGGCGTGGGTGCCTATAGACATCGATATCGTACAGTGTATAATTATGAAAAAGACTAGAAGCTATCCTGCTTATTATATATATCGCCACAGCTCTAGCATCTAATCGGCTCTTTTAGGATTATATAGTCTCGAGTCTTCGCGTATATATAAGTAGCCTTTACACGGACGCGTTAATTGTATTAATTATATCGGCGCGGCGATACACAAGTGCAGGTATTATACAAGTGCAGCAGAAGCGTCGAGCAGCAGCAGCGGCTTTAGACGGTTCGCTACATGTTTGTTGATTTAACGCGGCTATATAATCGCGTAAACACGTTCGCGACTTTTCTATTGTGTCGCTTACTTATACGTATATATATAATAGGAGCGAAGAAAGAGAGAGAGAGAGAAAAAACTAGAACAGACTTTTTGAGCGTAAAGTGCAAGTTCACCGATACGTCGATATAGGCATTCGATAGACGCGTAAAATTTTCGATTTTTAAGCAAATTCCACGCCCTAATCGATTTTTATCGTTTCAACGCGCGTGAAAAATGATTGTATTAATGTCGGACGTAAGATGTTTAAGCGAACAATGAAGAAAATTGCAATAGCAATAAAAATGAAATTAGTTTATGTTGCTCAAATAATGTTCATTTTTAATAATTATAAATAAGAGACAAGTTAATAAAGAAATTCATGTTTAAATTCATTTATTTGGAAAAACATAAAAAATGTACAACATTAAATAATTTTATACATAAAAAATACTGAAAATATGCTCATTGTCATTGCTTCGTGGTCGCTAAGCAAATATTGAACAAATCTTTGTTCTTTAAATTGTCCATAATCATATCACAGCAGAGAAGTGGCAGTCGATAGTGTAAGATTTGCTCCCAAAAGGGATACAGTGTCCACCTCCGGAAAAATCGCCTCGCAAGTTTCTCGCACAGATGCTCGAGGCAATTTCTTCTAAACTCCACGGGAATCTTCATTATTTTCGAAAATCTCAACTTCGAGTAGTGCCTGTAAGTAAGCATTTTCGCCGCTCGTTCGGGTCGTAACCGGGTCAAGTCGTAGAGCGACAGACTCGGTTTGATCATGATTTTCTTCGCCTCGATCTTGAACCTTTCGTCGTCGCGCCAAGATTCTTCGATATCCGACGACGCAAGCAGGTCGTACTTGGTGAAAAATTCCATGATCGTCAAGGCGTCGCTTCGAAGCAATTCGTATCCTCTTTTCTCCAAGCGTTCGACGATCATCAGCAGACCCGACGCTACTCGCACTTTAGAACAATGAACGTGTTTACGGTAATCGTTTATCTCGTCGAACTGTTTTACAGTAGGAAAAACGAAGCTCGACAGATCAGCACCTTGTTTTAGGAGTATATCGACCGTATTCGGCAAGATATTTTCCACGGCCAATTCCAGCGGTGTCCTGCCCTTATTGTCCCGAGCCTCGATTCGTAACTTTTTACATGTATCTTTGCAAATCTTTAAGAATGACTCGAAAAATTTAGCATCATCGGACGCGCTATCGCAAATCACGTGCAGTGAAGTAGATCCTTCCAGGTCGGGCAGATTCGGGTTGGCGCCATTCCTCAGCAGTAACTCGACCATTGACTGGTTGGCGCTATGCACGGCATAATGCATCGGGGTATAGCCTTCTGGGTTGGGCAGATTCGGGTCGGCTCCATTTCTCAGCAGTAACTCGACCATTGCTTGGTTGGCGTTATCCACGGCGTAAAGCAGCGGGGTAAAGCCGCGATCGTCTCGGGCATCGACCTCGACTGGCTTGTACTCCAACAACATCTTCGCTATCTCAACATTTAGTTCATGCATGCAAATCCTGTGCAGAGCAGTCACTCCTGCCCGGTTGGCCAAGTTTGGATTGGCGCCGTTCCTCAGCAGCAATTCGACCAACTCCGGGTCGATCAATGCAAATTGCAGCGGCGAATTGCCGGTTGTCGTCACGAGGAGATTAGGATCCACTCGGCCGAGCTCGAGGAATTTCGCGACGACGTCCGTGCAGCCCCACGCGCAAGCCACGTGGAAGTGCGTGTAGCCGAACCTCTCGTCGATGTAATTGACATCGAATCGATCGTAAATTTTAAAGAGCTCACGATCGAAGCGATAAATACCCTTGTAAAATGCACACAGCAGTGCTGTGCGACGATGCAACATCAACTTGCCGTCTTTATCGACTTTGGGCTTGTCTTTGTAGCCGGTCTCGATCAGGAACTGGATAAATCGTTTTGCCTGGTTCTCTCCTTGGCCTGTACCCCAGCGATCGATGGAATCCAAGAGAAGACGCTCGATTTCTTCGGGTTGAAAAATATCCCGCAGGTCGGAGAGTGGACCCATCCAATCGACGATCAGTCGAAGAAATTGATCGAAAATAGCGTGTCGCTGCGATTCGACCTCCCAATCGACCGAGCTCTTGAACACTTCCAATTGTTTCTTATCGAGGATATTCGTGTTTGTGAAATCTCCATTCTGGTTTTCATTGCCCGCGTCGCCTTCGACAGATCCTTCGTCGTTATTATGCATGATTTTGTCAACTCACACACAAACACAGTCGCTTATAATTTACTCACGAACGGCAGTCAATTTAATTTTGCTATAGTTGCTATACGCTCTTATACGTATGTAGAGTAAAAAAACTCTACGCGCACTGCGATCTGTATTCTATTTATAAAAATTAAAAAACACGTGGGCGAAACTAGAGAGAGGCTAGTTTCAGAAAAACTACGGCGGCGATCACGCTTCGGCGTCGTATTTTATACTGACTTGATACGTATACACTCTGATGATCTGTATGATGCGCTACACCGCATGACCCACGGGCCACGTTACAGTAAAATAATTCGTGGAAGCTATTAGAAAGTGAAATCGTCTAGAGCTATACTCTCGAAGTGCAGAGCTGCGTCTAATATACATCGCGCTCCTATTTTTCTGTTCCGCCGCGACAATCATCTCACGCCCGCGGAAGAAACTATTTGATTTCATAATTATAAATGTCATCGTACTTTGAAGAGCCGTGTGCCTAAACAGGTGCCTCTTGGAAATGCGCGTAGCATACATTTTTGAGACTCCTCGAGATACATCATTATATTTTGTATATTATGTACTGGGAAAGGGTGTGGCGCAGGCGCCAGCGATCCAGCACAGTCTATATACCTATTTAATGTCCGCGTAGAGGCCAAAACTCGAACTTTTATATATAAACATCTGACTATATATATATACGGGTGGTCGCGACACGACGGGTACACGCGGGCCCGCGAAGCTGTATAGTGCACGTGCACCGAGCCGCGCACGGCGGGTTCATCTCGCGCGCGTTCGAAACTCTTCTGCTATCGCTACGTACGAGAATCCATATACACTTACTCTCGGCATCGCATCTCTCCTTGTTGTTGCGACACATACCTGTACAAAGTTTGTTGTTATTGTTGTTGTCTCGTATCTCTCTCGGCATAGTTGACCGAGTTGGCTTTGTTTGTATACCTGCGGTACATTTAGTTAGGTAGTAGTAGTAGTAGTAGTAAAAGTAACAGTATAGCAGTTGTCGAACGCACACGTCTATACTCCGTGAGGTAGCGCCATCTGGCGCGAGAGTCGACACAGCTGCGAGCGAGTTTGAGTGCAGGCGACCTCGCATATACGGAGTCGGCGGCTCTCGGCGCTGCTCTCTGTCAGTCTGCCCGTATATACACTATATACCCGCGACTCAGTACTACGTATGTGTGTACACAGTCGCGACAGAGATAGAGAGAGAGAGATCATATTATGTACGTATGTATACTATAATGCCGCCTGCTGCGCGAGTGTGACTCCGTATTTTTTTTTTGCTTCGATACAGCGTACAGCGTATATATTTTAACGCAGACGAAAAACAGTCGACGCGTAGGTGTGTGTGTGTGGTAGTGTATAGAGGCACATCATCGTCGTCGTCGCTTCGCGGCGCGTATGTAATAGGTAGTAATCAGTTGGCCACCTTCTACTCCGCCAGCTCCGCACAGAGTTAGTTCGTGGATCGTAATATATAGCAGTAGATAGATGCCCAGCAACCGACGAGTTCGAGTTTCGTGCAGTTCCAATCGAGAGAGTTGAATAGAACGCCAAACGTCGAGAGAACTACACGAGATAGAGGTTTTGTGCGTGGATCGTGTATATATAAGCAAGACGACGACGACGACGACTACAACTACTACTGCTTAGCACGAGCAGATCGATACGATAATAGCCTATAAAAAAAAAAACATGGTGAAGAATAACATCGTATACCAACGAGTAGTGATCGCGAAATTGCGAACTGAACTATGAACTGCTGAGCGAACGTCATGAGACTTGTATTATATCTGCAGCAGCAGCAGCAGCAGCAGCAGCAACGGCGGCGGCGGCGACAAGGAGCGTCTGCTACGTCGTAGTATACGAGAGTATTTCTTCTCATCATCGCCGACTATATATAACGTAGTGACTGCGAAACTACGGGCAAGAGCAACAGAATGTGCCAGCAGATTCCCCGTGCTCGGACGCGTATATAGTTGAGCTCTGCGTGCCGCGTGAGTTTCGCGCAGCATCATCATCATCATCTCCTCGTGTGCCGAGTTCTGCTGCTGATTTGGCATCGTTGTATCCCGCGCGACTCCTGCATACACGCACTCAATCACGTTGTCGTGTTATGTACATTGGCAAAAAAACGTCGTCGTCGTCGTCGTCTTAGTCGTCGCGACTTTAATGACTGATTATAATAACGCGCCGAGTCGTCGTCGTCGTCGATTATCCTGCAGTTTTCCGTCGTCATCGTCGCGTCGCGAACGAGTGTGGTTGTTCAGTGCATGTGTCAAAGTCGGAGTTGTCGTCGTTGTTTATTGAAATCATCGACCGTGTATAAGCAGCACCGAGGCGGCGGTGGCACCCACGTGGACCTCTTATCGGCCAAGACGTTTTTTTTTGCACGACAAGAAGATAGAGAGGAGCAGCGGTGTATATAAGCAGCAAAATCTCTTCCGTTGCCGCCAACTTTCCTGCATCGCCGCCAGCCATGACTGCGTAGGCGCCCTGTATATGGTGTTATAACATATAGCGAGCCTCACGCTTCGCACAATGATTTTGGTTAGTTTCTTTTCTTTCTTGCCTCCTATTCTACATTCTATATCTGTTACGTTTTCGCAAATTGCAATAGGCACGCACACGTAAAAGCATCGGAGATACATGATGTACGTACAGTACGTATTTCCGTTTATATTTCTCTCTCTCTCTCTTCTTTTTTTTTTACTTCTGAATTCGCGCGAGCCTCGGCTAAAATTAAACCTCGAGAATTGGCGATAATTTTTTTTTTTGTGAAATTTAAAAAATTCACGGCACTCGACTTGCTACATACCACAGAAGCACAAGTATGTCGGTCGCGACTCGCGCGCGCTATCAATGGTTTACATTTTTATTAAACGTATGACTCGTGGAGCTTGGGTGAGGTAGCAAATGATATACCGATTACAAAATCAATCCGCGCGAGCTATTCGAGAAATCGCGCGATTTTTTACAATATACACGGAGTCCATAAAGATTAAAGCCATAATGGTGTCAATCGAGTCCGCGCGCGCATGAATAAGCGAAGAGTCTCACAGTCACACACGCACACACTTTGTTCTCTTCTCTCTCTATAATATAATTTATAAAGCATGGATAGCGTAGAGAAGTTTTCCCTTATAATAGCGATGATGTCACGATTCGCAATCGTTCATATGTATAAAGGCAGAGTAAGGCTTGCTATACAACCCTCCTTGTGTCGTCGTCATGCGCCGGAACACAAGCACACACTCGCACACATGTAAGTGCCAAAAATAGAAAAATCGTGCGGAATTTCGGAGTTATGTTAGTGGGCAGAGTCTGTGGCATGTGTGCGTCTAGGTATAGGCATATACTGTTTTGATGCGGGTGTTCTCCTATACTACGTGCAGTCGTACAGCATACCTTTTTTTTATGCGAGTCTGGGAAATTATGATCGATGAATAAGTCGCGTATATAGCAAGGGGGGAACCGGCTTTATCGCGCACACACATACGCGATGATTCAGAGAAACAACTCTCCGCGCTTCTCTCTTCGTATACTCCCTCCGCGCATTGACGCATCGATGATAATAATAATTTACAATATGACCCGTTGTTCGTCAGTGAACGGAGTGTAAAAAATCGACGACAGCCCAATATAACGATACAGCGCGGAGAGCGCAGAGTTATATATCTGCGGCTCTATAGATATGTGTATGTATGAATAAATGCGGAGGAGAAAAGAGGAGCGCTCGAGGAGAGAGAGACGCACATACATTTGCCGTATATACACTATATACCGCACTGGCTGCCGTCGCCGCATCGCACATTTATAAGTTGATACTTACCAGCATGTTCTGCGTGCATAATTGCGTATAACATTTCGAACACGCTCGACACACATGTGCATATCCACCTCTAACACACACGTATGTGTACACATATAGAGAGAGAGAGAGTCAAGACTGCAGGCGAGGGAATATATACGAGAGAGAGTGCGATGTACGCGAGGCACTAGCAGGGGCTTGCATACATTAATGCCGAGTCTGTGTGTGTATGTGTGTGTGTGTGCGCGCTCGAAACATGCAAAATCGCCACTGCACTACCACTATAGCAGCAGTCGCCAGCCGCCGAGCGCACTGCACGCATCTCGCTCGCATACTTGCTTTAAACTATAGGAGTGTCAAACACTGTGTCCAAGTTGTTGTTGTTTTTTTATTTTTATAAACATGACGTCCGATTAGCATCCATTCGCGCCTTATTAATAATAATAACACACCTCGGGGGCCACGAGAGGAGTTTATTAGCTGCCGCCGTCTAAAAAGCCGCAAACGTGCGCTACTACAAAGCGGCACATCTTGTACACGCACACACACTCACGCAATTGTCGGAGATAACAACGCTCGTCGTCGTGAATCTTCGAACATAATATTAAAGCAGAAAACGTTTGTTACTGCCTGCTGCTGCTACGAATACACACAATCGACACGCACCGACGTCGATTCGCTCGAACGCTTTAGAGCAAAAAAAAGAAAAACAACAACAACAACGAACGGCACAGCAACATGCACAAATTAAGGCTGCCCGTCAAGGTTGAGCTACCTGCTGCTCTGACGAGGTATATATATATTTATATACGTATGTATAGTACTAAAAGCTTAACACAAATACGTAATCTTACCCGCGCGCGCGGCGCGTATCAAGTCCGTGGGCTCCGAAAACTGCGTACGACACATTCCTGTCGCGGGAGCAGCAACCAACGGATGCGATGCGATTCACCGAGAGAGAGAGCTCGTTACACTTTGTTATCGGTTCTAAAATATTCGATATGTACGTACAACGCCCACCTAATAACTCGGCTTTACTCGCGCGCGTGTGTGTGCAGAAAATATCAAAAAAAAAAAAAAATGTGTGCAATGTGCCAAAGTGCTAGCTGTCCGCGAGTAGCCGCGGCTACTGAAACTCGGCCTTTAATATGTAGTACAACAACGGCGGACACGATTTAAGTATGCCCACACCACGCCGCTTGTATACAAGCCCGCTGCTCGCCTCGCCTCGCCTCGCGCGACACCTCATACTTTTACAATTGATAACGTATTGACGTCTACCTATTATCGACCTGGCGTCGATCGACGCCAAAACGATCTCCTACTACATGTATGTGTGAAGAGCATGCAGCGAGCACAACGACGACGACGATCATCATTATTGCCTCGCTCCTTTTTTCCATATTACATGCCATTTAGTTGTGCTCCACGACTTCTTACGAGGCGCACTTGTTGTGTTTTTCCTCGTTCGCGCGAGCGCACCTTACGCGCGCGTACACGACCGAGCGCTGCACCGCGACTCAGTGACTCTTTTTCTTCTTTTTGCGTAGTTTAGTGCGGTATTGTGTGCATTTTACACGAGTGCATGGCGGTCACTTCGATTTAAGCTCGAGTCGCCTGGCACTTATCGCATCTCGCAGGCAGTACCTTAGCTTCTTGGCTGCATGATCATTTATCTTTGGCTGCAATTACAGGCCAAAGCTCTCTATCGCTCAAGGCGAATAAACACACACTCTTCGACATGCATCTTGGAGCTGAAAAAAGTTCTCTTTCATTTTGTGCAATCGTCAACTTTCAATGCGATGTAGATATTCGATGTTAATTAACGTAGCCATTGTGAGATTCGTGTGCAATTTTCAAACTGCCTTAGAGCACAAAGTGTTTTCTGTTTGCTACTACCCTGACTGTGATATGAATTTTGAAAGATGCCTCCTCGCAATATTTTCATTCAACGATTCATTTCCAATGTTATCTTAAGCATAACATTTATCATCAAGTATCTGACTCTTAAATTTTCTATACGCCGTGCTGTTACTTACCAACCAATTGCTGTAACGTAAGTCACAATTTCTGAAATGATGTTCTAGCAACTTCTTGAACATTGTAATAACATACTTTGATATTTATCATACAAATGTATTGAAATATTTCTGAATTCCTTCATCGCCACATAGTTCATAAGTTGTAATGATTCAAATTATCAATAGCAAGAATTTATTATCTTAATAGATAATGTATTAAACTTTCTGTATTTCAAGTACTTTTTTTTAATGAATTGATATGCATTTTGATTATTTTTAATCTAATATTATACAAAATTTTAAAATTGAAAAAAATATTGATACAGATATATTTATTAAATTCTGTATTTTTCTTGTGTTATAAATAAAATTAGTAGAAATATTGAAGTGAAGGTCAAACTAATTAAGGAGTGATATAATTTTACTGCATTTCTTACTTTGTATCAATCAAATATTTTTTTGTTTTCATTTTATACAACAAAAACAAATTTATTTTAATACAAATATATAATAATTCCTCATTAATATTTCTAAACTAATAAACTGTATTTAATTTTCAGAATGGTATTGGATCCAAAAGTAACAAGTCTCCACAGTGATTACGGGAGCTTCGACAAGCCTCTAGGTGGAGACAACGGTCACGATAAGGATATTGAAGCAGCTGTTGATGGCACCAGTGGTGGAATGGCTCAATCAAGCGATGTTTATCAGAGGCAACCTTTGCTTCCTGGTGCTTCAATAAAAAATAAAGACAAATGGAGTGGAGTTGCTTCCAGCTCAAATTACTATGAAGATGATGATGATAAAATAGATAGTTTAGGTCACATTAGACATCCAGACTTATCAAATGGCTCAGGTAGTGGAATTATTAAAATTGATATTCCAGCACCTCTTAAAGATGAACCAAGATTCCCAAAAGAAAAGTGGAAAACGTTTGTTGGTAAGTAATCAAAATAAAATAATTATCTATATTCTTTTGATTTGAAAACACTATGAATTCTTTTTCAGGTTTTCTATTTATGGCGATGAATTTTATATTTACTACTCTCTCCCTTGCTCTGGTTCATGAAAGAGTACCTGATCGTTCTGTTTATGGTCCTTTACCCGATATTGTACTTGATAATATAGCAGCTGTAGATAAAGCTTTGGATGTATCGGAATATTTAATTATGATTATGTCTAATTGCACAGTAATTTTAGTAATATTCCATAAACACAGGTTTGTTTATTTTTGTTCAATTTCACATACTTTTTAATAATTAAACTAATATTTGATGAAATTTTCAGATTTATTGTTGCTAGAAGACTATTTTTATTAATGGGGTTGTTGTATATGATGAGAAGCATAACAATGTATGTTACAGTACTTCCTATGGCTAGTACAACTTATGTTTGCAGTCCAAAAGCCAATAATTCAAGTCCATCACTTATTGCTGGACGAGTAGCTCAATTAATTTCTGGTTTTGGTTTATCAATTAATGGAAAGCATACCTATTGTGGAGACTTCATATATAGTGGACATACAGTTGTACTTGTACTTAGTTACCTGATTATTAAAGAATGTAAGCTGTAATTTTAATTTTTTAAATTTAGCTCTGTATAAACTCTATTATAATCTCTATCTGTATAAACGCTATTTTTTTAGATACTCCTAAAAAATGCTATCCACTCCATTGGTTGGCTGGTATAACATCGTTTGTTGGTGTAATTTTGGTTTTGATTTCTCATGGCCATTATACAGTAGATGTTATAATTGCATATTACATTACAACTCGTCTATGGTACATCTATCATACAATGGCAAATAATGCACAGCTCAAAGTAAGATATTCAAATTTAATCGAGACATAAAAAAAGAATTTTTAATAAATATAAACATTTTTCAGTTGAATGGGCCAAATAATTTTTTCACAAGACTTTGGTGGTTTCCTATTTTTATGTATTTTGAAAAAAATGTGAATGGTGTTGTTCCACGACAGTACGAGTGGCCTCTACCTTGGCCTCGAAGATTACTTGCCAAGCATCCAAATAGAGACAGTTAATATCTGTGTGAGCTTCGTAAAGGAGCTGATGTTTCCACAGTGATATTTAATGTAAATACTTACATAAGTTTATGATATAAATTCTTATTGGGTGAGATACTTTGTGAAGTAAGCTCATTATTTCAAGAAGATGAAATATTAACAAAATTTTAAGACATACTAATAATAATATACAAGTCTATTTGGTATTTGAATTGAAACGCTAAAGCTCAAACTGCAACGCTGTTTTTTCGTAAAATTGATATATTCTTTTATAATTTTATGACTCTCTTCTTGATTTTGATACAATGTTTACATTGATAGAAATAGGAAAAATTCAGAAATAATGTATATTCTTTAACTTGTAGTTAATCAAGTGGAATATGACTGTTATTACTAAATTCTGCTAAAATATTTTCAAAATATCAATGTTTCAGATATTTGTTAATTGAATATACCATATCTTAATCAATGATAGTTCAATTTCTATTTGAATTGATTAATGAAGTTACGAAATTTTTTAATATAAGTTTAAGTACGACTAGTTCTTATTGGTATGGAATACATAATTTAAGCAAAACGATTAAACTCAATAATTGTTAGTTCTATTTGGTTTATTACTATAAATTTTTCCATGTAAAATATTTAAATATTAATTTATTACATTTATTGACTGACATAATGTTTGAAAATAGCGTTGAAATGTTTTTTGTAATGTTAAATTCTGCGATTTCATGGGACCAATCACATTTGATCGCAAATTCTTAAAAGTTTTTTATTTTTATTTATTTGAATTAAACTTTTAGTAAATGTATTTATTGTTGTAAATATCCAAAAATTGAAGTTGTCCAACTTTGATGATGTGAAAAAGGTTCAATAATATTAATACTGCGCAAAATAAACTTTTTGACTGAATATTATTATTGTTTTAGTCAAACACACGAAAAAATTCAATACCTGTGAGATAACTATTTCTAATCTTGTTTTGTATTATCCAATGAGGCAATTTGAGTATCGACTGTGTTAAATTTGAAGAAAATTCACAAACAATCGACTACATAAAAGAAACGCTTTAAAAACTTCTCTTCAATAGAAATGAACTTTCATTTCAGAAAAGTTATGATGTATATTCGAACATGCACAATGTAATCGTCGTTTTAATCTAAAATGAAAAGTCAGGAAAAAAACATAAAAAAATCGCAACATTCATTGATCTAAAAATATCTGAATAAAATTCCATCAAAAGGGACAATTTTAAAAAATACTAAATTTTCAAATTTTTCATTGTGGTTAGATTAAAATCTTCATCAATGTCCATGCTTGTAATTATACTTGCCTTCTTGCGTAAGGACTTACGATGTAAAAAAGTGGTATCGTAAAGTTTAGGGCTTGTTCGTCTATTGGTATTATTCAATAGTTTCATAAATAAGAAAGTCTATATCTTATAAGCATAAAATAATATTGTGATCAGTGTGAATAATTAGAATCTTCAATGCCTATGCATACATAGTTATTCCAAATGAATTTGAGAATTATAAAAAAACTGGCATTTTTATGCATACTTTATGAAGTAGACAATCCAAAATGCATAAGAAGTTATCTGCAAGATGCTTTTTACAGTTTTTTAAAATTTTACTCTACTATCTTAAAAGTGCTAATTTATACATTTGACTTTAAAATTAATTATTTTGTGTCATGTTTAAAACTGGGCTCTTTTGAATTAGTTTGATAAAGAGGACGAAATTAGTTTACCTAAACAAAAACACAGAAAAATCTAAGAATCTGTGGCAATGCAAAGACAAAAAACATAATGAAGCAAGATCTTATATATTAATCATATTTATATCTGCAAGTTCTTTGAAGACAAAGTTATTTTTTTTTTAAATTTAAACTTGTCTTTATAGAGCCCATTATAATTCTAATAGCAAAATGGAACAAGCGTTCAATGATTTGTTATAATTCATTGTAAACATCTGTAAATGTAAAAAGATTAATGATGATTACTGCACAATTTCTTTTAATGCATAAAAAAGAATTATGATTTATAACAGAGCTTAGAACACTAATTTATGCGACTACATTTATAAGTTGCAGCTATTTTATGTTTTCAAGTTGATCACTTTAAATTCAAGCACAAATGAGACATTTTAATTAAAATGAGTATGGTAATTGATTGGATGAGTACTCAGCATGAGTACCTTCGTTCGTGCATCAGTTGAATTTTTCTGAGATTGAAAATTCATTTTCTCTGAAAATGAATTTGTATATTTGAGGTGCAAAATATATTCAAATAAGCGCAATTGATTTGTGCTTTGGTACATTGTTAGTGTATTATAGTCACACAGATTTTGAAGAATGAAGTGAAGCAGCTGTTTTTATCTGAAGGGCAAATGTATAAAAAAAAACATGAAATGATCAAAGTGCGCATGGTCGTACTTCATGTGGATAAATTATAAAAACTTATATTTTTCGTGTAGATATTTTATAGTACTTTGTTAAAAAAAAATAAGCCTAGCAGAATCAAGCCTGCTAGATTTGTAAATAAAAAGGGATTGAAAGATATGTAAATTTGGACTTTTTGATCTGAGAAAAGTGAATCAAATTTTAATACAGATATTTTCATTGTGTGTACATAAATTTCGTTTTTCGTGAAATTCTGTTTTTTTCAACCTTATTATAATGTAAAAAAAAATATTTATTTTGTAGTAGCATAAATCAATGTTTTTCTCGTTTTAATAAAAACTAACATTAATTTTTAGTCATTAATAAAAGTCACAAAATTCAAAGTGGTTGATGTTAACACATACTTATAAGTATTTTTTTATAATAAATTTAAATAGAAAAAGATAAACTTTAAAATTATACCGTTATTTGATTATTTATGCTTTCCAAAATCGTCATTTGTCAAACAATTAGTTCATGATATAATTATTTAAAATTAACTGCCGTCTTAATGGAGTTGAATGTGAAGTTTTAATTTGTAAGAACATTCTAATTTTCAGAAATTCGGAAAATTTCAACCATATCGATTTCAAGGACGGTTGATTGAAAATATAAAGCCAAATCTATTGAACCATATTTTTGATGCCTAAAACAAAACATAATTTAATCAAGCAAATAAATAAATTCAATTTTTTTATTTAAACGATATGGAAAATCCGTTACATTTGAAAGCACCAAGCGTTGAAATATATGCTGATAGACAACACGAGCTTTGGTCCGTAGCCGCCAAGCAAATATTATGAAATGAATATCCATTCTTTAGATTTCCAAGGATAATTTTACAGCAGAGAATTGCGCTTATCCCAAGAGAAAATCCAAGGTCCATCGTTGGAAAATCATCTCCCACAGGCGCAAAGCACAATAGCTTCTCTAAACCTCAAGGTAGAGAACTCGAAGTAGTCTGCATATTTGTCTAGTTCACCCCCTGATCGGGTCATAATTTAATTAGTGTAAGTGACAGGCTCAGCTTAATCATTAATTTTTTCGCTTTTCTCGTGAACCATTGTTAGTCGTACCTACATTTTTCCTCTGATTTCTCGAACAATTCGTACTTGGAGAAAATATTCATCGTTTTAGTCCAGTTCATATCTTGTGTTGAAGTGTCTGTTGAAGTGTCTCTTGCAAATTTGATTTCAAAAGTGTTTGTCCTCCTAAGTTTGGCCGCATAGCAGCAATTCGTCCTCGTGGTTTTTGTTATGTGCCAGAGCCAATTGTTGCGGCGAGTCATCTGCTTTTTCACGTGTCAAAAATTTTTTGAAAACTTCGTAACATCGTGAAATGCAGTCTACGTGCAAATGTGTGAGGCCAGACTCATCAGTGTAGTTGAAATGGAATCTGTCGCATATTTTAAAAATCTGACGGGACACGATGTTCCAGTCGGGAAACGTGTGTGGCTAGCAGCATAATAAAATCAACTGCAGGTGAAACCGTAGGTACGAGGCGTACGTATGAAGTAGCTGAGTTGAGCTATGAAATTCCTTAAAGCTCAAATTCTACTAGCAATCAAAATCCTGATATGACGTTATTTTGAAAATGCCATGAGACAATGTGAACAGAAACTCAAGATTTAGGAGATATGTCGATGTTTTTATAAGATCAGGCCATTCAAAAATCGATGAAATAAACAAATTTAGAATCATACCTAATACCTAATTTTTTGATGGGTAATTGTTCATTCATTTCAAAGTTTATTCCGCAAATAAACGTTGACGGCTGATATAGGTTGACTATACGAAGTGTACCGACGACCATCGCCCCATACCAACACATCGATGGGTCTGGATGAAACTTTTTGCTATTGTCCAGAAACAGTTGTTACAACGCGTTGCAACGAGTGCTGAGCAACCAGCAAGTGCCAGCTATGGCATCGATCTCCGGGTTGCCTTTTGCCGGATTGGAAAATCGGACCACGATGGTCGTACTCAGGCATCATCGTTTTCAAAATGTACTCGCTCAAAAGCCATCCAGGAAAAATTACCGATCGATTCTCCGCCTAAGTCCGATCTCGACCCAATTCACAATTCAATCAGAATTATAGATCCTGCACGAGATCGACATCCTCGAGGACGTGTCAATGGCATATGCGGTCAGCGAGTGGAACCGTTTCAAGCTGGCTGCCCTTATCCGCAGCCTTTTTTTTATAGCGAATTCCAAGTCGAAGTCGAAGACCTTACTTACAGCTTCCTGGTTATTATTAAGATTGAATTTAATAATTGTCTTTGGCTCACGCGCGAGCGAACGTGCGTATACACATTGCAAACGAACGCAAGACCGAGCAGAGAGGCAAACGAGGAAAAAAAAGAAGTACAAGTCTCGAGCCTTAAAAAGGAGCACGACGACGACGACGACGACGCGCCAAGAGCCTTAGAAACGAGAAATCGTTGCTGCTTCGAACGCGGACGGAGACGGAGGCAGAAAAAAAGAAGAGGAGGAAGAAGAAAAAAAAAGGAGGAGATCGACAGTCGAAAGCAATTTTCGTTCGCAGAAATAATCTTGCCGAGTTGATAATGAGGACCTGTTTTATAGTTTGTGTGCGTCTGTCTGTGTCCGTGTGCGAATGTGTGCGTTGTGTGTTGTACTGGCCCACAGGAATCGTGTCGGAGAGGCACCTCCCGACGAGCCGAGCTGAGGACGCGAGAGAGAGAGAGAGAGAGAGAGAGAAAAGAATGGAAAAAAGTCAGCGATGAGAGAAACAGAGAGAAGCCCAAACGAGTTCCATCCGCCGCTGCCACCTACGCCTACTTCATTGTACACGGAGGGACTAAATAAATTTTTCGAGAACAATAACGCGCGCTGGCATATATTCTGATTATCGGCCGATGTATGGTAGTACGGCCGTTTGAGGACGGCCGTGTAATAGCTGCGTGCACTTTGAAACCAACCATGGTGTTCGCGTCTCGTGTCTTGAGGCTCTTGCGCAATGTTTGCGCCAGTGGCCGCGATGCAAAAAAAAAAGAGAAAAGAAAAATAAATGCGCTCGTTCGTCTTCGCAGTTTTGAGGGACACGACGATTGGGCACCGCTGCAAAACATCGAATCGATCAAGGCCATCATCGATGAGGGCGACGAGTAAATCGCTATTCGAGATTTGTGCAGGATCGACATCACAAACTGATAGTGTTGTAGCTCCTATTTGGCCTATAGTACTTACCTTATTTTTTTAGCTTTCCTTTTTTAGCTTCCGGAGCAACGTTTAGTTTGGGAAATGAAAATCCTCATATCGTCTTGAACTGCTCCTGATTCATGAAAAAGCTAAAAATGGGTTTTCTGTTTTTAAATGAAACACAATTGCTCTTGAAATTGCTAATTTTATGTATAAGTTTTATGACACAAATTGATGTAGCATCTACATGAGTAGGAGTATGAACTACACGAGAATGATGTTGATACAGATCACTTATTTAGCGTAAATACAATGTCTCAATTACATGCTATGAACTAGATACTTAGAAAACACTGTACAACGCGACCGCAACTCTTGAGCGTACTTTACATATAATACAAGGAGCGCGCCCCCCAAAAAGCACACAAGACACGACTCATTCGAACGGTCGTTCGGGTTTTTGCGGGCGCACTTTCATTATCATTTTTTGTAATTCAATTTTTTTTTTTTTTTAATCATCTTCAATATGCACATTGACGCACACACCTCTTTCACGCAGGTCATGCAAGGCTATCGATTTCTTTTTCTCGTTTTACTTTATTTTTTATTTTTCCTTCCAATTTCTCAATATTATCTACGCCAACTCTATGCATATATAATATATTTATAATATTTATATACCTTGTGTGACGCCACTCGTTTGAATTCCCCGATTCGATCGAATTACAAAGTTACTTCGCCTATAGCGCGCGAGGACGAGTTTTTCCTGATTTTAGTAGTACTCTTATTTATCACTCTATCACTTTGTTATTATCGAAAAATCGCGGAATCTCGCATCGGACGAGGAAACCACAAGTTAAAACGTCTTCATTAACTTTTTGAGCTCGTCAAATAGGCCACCACGCAATTGGCACACGCAAAACGCCCTCATACATACATGCATACATTTTATATTGGTACAATTTTTTTTTCTTAATTTCTCATAATTATGTTACTTTTCGCTCCGGTTTTTAGCCATTCTCAATTTATGTTTATCCTGAAGCACTCTCCTCTTTGTATTTTAAGCTCCAAGGAGACGTACTGTATTTGAGATAATTATCAAAAAACTCTTATCACCCTTTTGCAAAATTACCCTTTCATTATTTGTAATTTTTTTTCTTTAATAAAAATTATTTCTCCTTATTACGTATATAGAGTTTACGTACAAAGATTTCTCATCTTTAAAAGCTCTTGTATTCCCTTTTTAAATGAAGACTCACATTGCTATGCACATTAATTTCAGTCTCGAGTCCGTATTTTTCGATGTCTTAAATGGTAAATGTGACAATGAGAAAGAGCAAGAAGCTGAGAATTTAGCGACTCTAGATTATACACAGTAAAATGATGAGCATGAAAAATAAAACATGGAAGACTAAGCAATCGCAGCGAGTTTGATTTTTTTTGTAGAACTGCGACTGTCAAATGGTTATTTACGGTGAAACAAGCTTCATCCTCAGCATTTTCCTCTAATCTTTACCATTTTATTAATGGAGGCGATAATCGCTATTTTCTAGCCCCGTAACAATTGAATTTGTCTTTTTCAATTTGTACATTTGCCACTGATGAGGTCTTTAATGAATAATTAAATTTTATCTCGGATGCTCATTGCGCTACTAAAAACCGTTGGCACGATATAGCTCCTAATTTCATTGAATTAGCGACTTTACACATGAAAAGCTCTTATAACCAAATGAAAATGAAACATAGGTATGTAATAGCTAATTGTTACCAACAAAACAAATGAATAGAACAATAGTTTTCTAAAACCTTCCATAAGATTTTTTAATATAATTCTTTTATAATCTCTGTACGAAAATCATTCACTCCTCGAATGCACAGTCTTATTTATAAATTTTATACTTAAAATAATAAAAACTATAAAACGATAGATAACCTGCTGAAATATCCACATAACTAAAACCGGAACGCCATTAACATTCAAAGTATCAACTCATTTTTTTTCTTCAAATTTTACATACGTAACGCAGACAGAGAGACGGCAATGTAAAAATATAATCGGTAGAATTGGCATGGTGTTATTATGGCACGTTTAGTTTACTATTCACTGACGGGTTACATTACTTACTTTTTCTAAATAGACAATAATGAGTCAAGAGTATCTTGCCCTGTTTTCGACCCGTTTTAACATATACAGCATTTATCGTCGCTCGTTCTCCATTGCACTTTCCCATTTTCACAACATAAATGCATTTTAAACATATTTATTATTTATATATGTATATGTATATATATACACAATTAGTGGCATTCTAAAAACGTTCACACACTTCTTTAATTCTGTGTTTTTGGTTAATAGTGAAATCAGAAAAATTGGAACTTGAGATGATTTTTGTAAAAGTACAAAATCGTTTAAAATATGTTTCGTAGCTCAACGAATAAATTTATAATACCGGTATCGGCCGAGAGACTTGAATTTTTGTTTAATGATCAATTTAATAGATAATTATTTTTACTTTTAATTTTAAATACAATTTTAATTAAAATTCATCTCAAAATATTTTACATGTCTTAATAGAGGGAGCTTTTGCAACGCCAAGAGTCTGTATATGTAAATATTTGATATTGTGGTCTAAAATAAACAATAAATGATTTTTTAATAGATGTTACATTACACTTTTGAAAGCGGCATATAAATTACCATGATATTTTTAAAATTTAAACAAATGTACAATTTTTCCAAAATGTTTTTTAATCTAAATTCTCAAGATAAACGGAGAAAAAAAACTGTAAAAAAGATGAGAATAACTTGATCAAAATTCTTTAAAAGTTAATCAAGCTATTCTGGTAAGTTTTATTCTCTTTTTCCTCTTTGTGTAGGTATACTGACTCTTAAATTTGCAACATACTTATACAGCAAATGAAGAACTATTGCACTTTTGCAATAAAAAGTCAATGACGTACTTATAAAATGATAATTAAAAAAGTATAATGTATTTGAAATATCACCATGTGCATTCAACAATGAAGAATGCGTTGTCTATATTTAAGTAGCCAGCAACAATATATTATTCAATTACAATTGATAAATTTCTTTACTCGACAGTGTCATACAGCTCGCCTCAGGTTTCTCTTGTACCGGGAATGTTCAAAGAGAGGGACGATACAAAAGGGACCAACAAAAGGTTTGTCAATTCGCAAAGTTTACTCGACGTGCGTGCGAGCGAGATACTTAAAACTCGAATAACTAAAATCAAATTTTAGAAAATAATTTAAAAAAAAGTAATTACCAATTACAAAATATTCAGACCATTATTAATAGAAGGCCTTTGAAAGTTTTCCTTCTTTCCTTAATACTAAAAAAAAAAAATACTTAATAATCGAAATATCCAGTACAATATATTCACAGTGTACTATTAAAATTGAACTACACTTCAACATAACAACGAAATCTTAATAAAATTGCACGGAAAAGTTGCAATGGAAGACACAAGAGAAAAATTACATGCACATTACCGAAAATGTTCTAAAATTAATTTTTTACTCGCTCGACACGAGGATTGAGAGGGGGTTGTGTGTTGGTAAAAGTTATCAAGGAGAGAGACAGTCGAAGGGGGGGGGGGGGGAAAAANGGGGGGGGGGGGGGGGGGATAAAATATATTTTAATATTAGAGTTAGCCGAAGGAAGCGCAAAGCTATCCCTGTACGCGTAAACTTTTAAAAAATAACAAGTTATCGTTTCACACCACGTGGACTCGACGAAAGACTTTGTTGCAAAGATGATTTGTGTGTGGAAAGGACACACACACGCCTTTTCCTCTTATTATATACACATTTCTATATAAATTCGTGTAGGTCTCTCTCTGGAGACCGACTACGGAGTCGTCGTTGTCGTCGTCGTCCCCTCAAGCTGCGACTGCCGCCGCTGTTGTAACAAGCTTCGCCGTTTTACAAGGTCCATGGTGCAGCCGACGCCTCTTAATAATCGGGGGTATAGTACCTGGCACAGGAACATGACCAGTTACGGTCATCGTAGTAATAATCACAAAGTTGCAAGAATGAGTATTGATGCGTCGCCGGCGCGGCCTGTTGAGCCAGGGCTACGTGACGCTGATGGCGGAATTGGTCTGCTGAGGGCCCGGCTCCGTCTTGATGCACTGGCCCGTCAGCTGGTTCACGCTCAGCGGATTGTTGATGTCGTGGGGATTGGTGCCGACCGGATTGCGATGAGGCGTCGCCGGTTGCTGGAGCACCACGGGCGGTGGCGGCACCGCCGACGACGGCTGCTGCTGCAGATGATGATTGTGGTGATGGTGCTGTTGCTGATGATGCTGCTGCTGATGATGGTGGTGTTGCTGCTGTTGTTGCTGCTGCTGATGATGATGATGATTGTTGTTGGAGCCGACGCTGACCACCGACACAGGCGGGGTAAGCGGACACGGGCTGGCCAGGCTCGAGGGCGATGGCAGCACTAGGGACGGACTGGCCAGGCTCGAGAGGCCCGACAGGCCGCCCGGACTGCTGAGGGACTCGTCGTCCTCGGGCGTGCCGGCCTCGCCCACGCTGCCCAGATTGTCCTCGGAGTGGTCGTCGTCGGGCTCGTTGTCGCCGTCGCCCTCTCCTCCCTCCCCCATGTATCTGATACACTTCTTCTTACGCCTGGAAAAAAGGTAAGAGAAAGAAGGATTAGTCCGGATCTGCCGAGCGGGTTCGTCGATTGCACACCTAGAGATTCGTATATATAGAGAATTTGTTGCAAAAATAAATCGTTAAGTAGCAGAGTCGTCGTCGGGCGGTCGGGCGCTAAATAAATTATGTATATAAATTAAGTAAGCAGAGATCGCCCACTGCCCGACGGCTGAATTCTTATACACATCAAAAACATCGTATTAATATATATATATCGTGTCTATGCATGCGTGCACAAACGTCAACTCAATCGATGAAAGTTTGTAACGTCACTAAAGGCTTCATGCTTAATCAATCATTAATATGTATATCATACGTATATTACTAGAAAATTAACATCAATCTCACGACAAACAGCTGACATGCTAATAAAATAATAATGATAAAAAAAAAATACACAAGTAGATTTTTTTTTTCGTTCGCTCGGTTCTCTTTGGTAAAATAAGGAAGTAGTATACGACGATGATACGCTTGATGCGAGCTTTACGCGCGATTGAACCATCTTTAAAAGTTAACGAGGTAACGCTGAAAATTACGTTGCGATGAAGAAGTCAGCACATTTCACCGCTCTGTCATTGGCTCTCATTATTCTTTCTTCTGGCGGAATTTTAAATTTATTTTTAATTCTATGAGTGTATACTTTTACACGAATCATCGTTGAACGAGCAAATTCTTTTGTGAAAATCAACGTAATATCCAAGTTTCATTGCTTTAAACCGGATTCGTATTCGATGAATGAGTTGATAATATCATTTATTCCGCGGTCGATCGAGATTGACCGGTATTGGTTTTACGAGGACCTATCCAATGTTCATGAAAACAAAAATTTTACAATAATTATATTTAACTTTTTCCACTTGAAATTCAAAGTCAAAATTGATGCAAAGTGACACGTTCGGCTACCAAACGATTTTCTTCGATTACATGTGAGAGTATGGACGAAAAATTCATGCAATTCGTACTTGCAAAAGTATGAGTAATTTTTCAACAATATACTTGTTACGAAGAAGCTTTGTTTAATTGTGCTCACGCATGAAGCGCAACAAAAAAATTAATAAATGTTCATGGTTATATCGTCAACTTGTAATGCAAATAAAACTCATTTGATAGAACAAAAAATAACGCTTATCAACAGGCCATTATGCATAATAACATTTACAAAGAAGTTAAAAAAGGATGCATTAGTTTACTGTAAAATATGCGCACACATGACATCGACGAACAAACAAAAAAAGTAAGTTTGTATATGATATACTTGAAAGAAAAACAAAATGCACAGATAATATAAATTGTAATATGCACATACGAAAAATACAGTACGATCAGCCATGCTATGGTCCACACTTATTATATGTCAACAAAAAAAAGTATAAAAACGGATATATATTCGAACTATACGATATAACTTGGATACAACGAAAAAATTCAAAAAAGATCGCTAAGTAGAACAAAACGATGAAATTAATTTGGTAAAAATTAAGTGAAAGTAAATAAATTTGACATAAAAAAAAAACAGACAATAAACAACAACAGTAATAAATAAGCCGTAAAGAGCCACAACAATGAGAAACAATGCGAGCACGTCGGTGGGCCCCGTCGTCGTCGTCGTCGTCGTCGCCCTTTAGTCCTCTCTCGAAGTCTCGACACCGCATAAGACCGGTATGTATACACTTTAAAAGATCGGTATTACAGAGGACGAACGGACGCTCGAACGAACACGACGATGGGGGCTCGCCGAGCTTGTGTCTTGGGACTGACCACTCTTTAATTCGGTTCTTTTGTCTTTTTTTCGTTTATTGTTTATTTTGCGCTCTCTAAGAAGAAGTGTTGCAGTAGAAGGGAGGCGATAGGCTTGACTAGAGATTAACGTAAGTGGGTTCCTGCTGGGGTGAGGAGGCGTTCGAGGCGGCGTTGGCACTGGGTGGCGGTGGTTGCTGCTGTTGCTGCTGCGGCACCGAGGCCGAGTTAGCCTGCTGCTGCTGCTGCGAACCACCGCCAGCGCCACCGCCCGCACCCGCGCTACCGCCCACGCCGTGATGGATTATGCTCGCGTGGATGCCCATCCCCGCTCCATGCTCCACCGGGCTGCCAAAACCAACAACCAGCAAGCCATTAAAGGGGCGCACAATAGATAATGATAATGATAAGTAATAATCGACGAGTCAACAAAATATTTTCCTCTTTTTTTCATTGCACTAGAGGCGCCATCATTGAATCATAAATTCACGCGCTCCTTTTCCTAATTTTCTTGCTCTCTTGCACAAACACTCGTATCAGAGTATATCGAGCAGCTGTACGTGGTCCACCACTTATTGCTCTCCGTCGCCGGGTTCTCTCGCACTCTCATCAGAAAATATGTCTCCCAACGCGTGTGCTACACTCGTTCACCAACCTTAATTTTAATCCGCCCCTTTAATGACGTTCGTTCGTTCGTGTGACAATTTGAACTTGAGCCGGGAGCCGGGGTGACTGGGCTTTATCATTATTAGCATTGTTTAATTTATTTTCGTTCAGTAGTTGCGAATTTTTTTCAATTTATCGTGACAAGGATTCGTCGCAAACTGCAGAGTTAGTGGCCCGAAATCGTGATCGTACATGTATAATATACGTATTTTGAAATATTACAATAGTTAATCGGTAAGTTGCGAAGAGCAGACTACATGAAAGAGCGTATGATACAGAGTGAATCGAGACAGCCCTTTTTTTTTATATTAAACACACTCAGTCGCTCATAGATCACTCGAAGCTGAGAGAGAGAGAGAGAGAGAATCTTCAAGCATCGGTATCACTTTTGTACGCGTCCTTATTTTTTCCCACGATCGTATTCGAGTACAGAGTCGACTGTATATGCGCGCCGTTTACGCGTCTTCTCGTTTTTATTTACTTTTTCGTATATATGTACGTATACTCTCGCTCGGTTATCATAAGCGATAATCTTGTTTAGTGCTCTAATATTTGCAAATGTGTGTTCTTTTTTTAGTAATAGTGCCTTGGAGTGATCTAGTTAAAGCATACCAAATGATGGAAGTGATTTTTTATATGAGATATATATATATATACTGAGTAAGTTTCAAGAATGTTTCTGGCATTCAACATGCTTTAAAAGACTTTGGTGTGATTTCAAAGGGCTCTGCATCTAAATTTTTTATATAATAAAAGATTAATTACTATGTACAAGCAATAGATTCAAAAGGCTCAATTTCGTTTGTCCGTTTTTTTTTCTAAAGTAAATTATTGTTACAAGAAAGATCGAGTCTATGATTTTGGAAGACACATTTTCTGACGAATCGATAACCCGAAGACGTTACACACATGATTACTGCACGCTCGGCGTGTGTAACAATATCGAAGCTCCGAATCGTCCGCTGCAGCTTTCGTTTTTTCGTTCTTTTTTTTTTCATTTGTCAAATCCTTTATTAATCACATACAAAACAGATAAAAAACGTAAAGCATCCAATCGAATTTAAAATTAATTTCTTTTTTTTTAATCTAATGATGATGTTTCACTTTTTGAAACAAAAACAATAGCTGCGACGACCGAAGCTTGTTTACCAAAACCAGTTATCAAAAGTGGAGAGAAAAATGTACAATCGCCCGAGTTTTCTTTTTTCGCTACCCATACCACGTGGTGAAATCAGTTAATGCACCATAAAAACAAAACATTATTTGATTGCTAATTGAACAAGTACCTGCAGGGTTTGCACCATTGGCTTTGTTGATCCAGACCGAACCTTGCTCGACACTTCTTCATATTGTTACCTGCGAAAAACAGAAAAATGACGTTTAAATCGATGCTCTTGACTGTGTATCTCGATCGCCAACTACGCGATCGACAAGTAGCGATCAAGCGGCGCGACTTGAAAATCGCGTCGTTGAAATTAAAGCTATGTAGAGAATATAACGAAATAGTGTATAGAAGATAGAAGTGGTTTTTTTTTACCAGAAATGATACATTTAGTTACTGAGGAGATAACAGTTTGTTTCAAGGGCTCAAAGGAAGGAACTTCTGTAAAATGACAACGTGTATAACAAAATTGAAGCTATGTGAGATTCTACAATAATAATTTGTACATGGGTCGAATCGTGTGGTAATACGACTTTGAACATGCTGGAAACTTAGATATATATAAAAATATCCAATTGAACAGTAAAGCTGTGCGAAAAAATTGTGTGCATGACATAACAGTCAAATGATTTTTGGTTTTTTTTTTCTTCAAATAATAGTGCAAAATACGTGCAAATTGAAAATAAGTGCCATTAAAAAATATTTATCACATACACAAAAAAGTTGTATCTGTAAGTGTATGCAAGTGCGCGCGCGTGTGTGTATTATCTTGATACAATGTCTTAATACACTTAAAGAGATATAGAGATTATATACTTTTCGAATAGTGTGATGAAGAAAATTTAACTTTTGTTTTTTTTCACGTTCGTTGACTTTTTGTTTCGTTAACACAAGATTGAGATCTACATGTATTTATCTACGTGTCTTGGTGGAAGCTATATATTGTGACATTGGATCCAATTGCGTACACAATGGTTTCAGCGTCAAGCTCAAAAAAGTGTGAAAATGTCCAGGAGGATCAAGTGCAGTGTGCGAGGTATACGGATAATAAAACAATAAATGAACAAAAGGGTGAAACACTAAAACTATAACTAATTACTAAAAGTATGGAAAAACAAAAAAATAAAATAGACAAAAATTTAACCATTCAAATGATATTCGATTTAAAAATCGTAAAAATTGAAACGATCAAAGAAAATGCGTCTTGCTCGAGCAGATAAAGTAGTTTACGGCACAGATTAAGAAAGAAACAGAAGAAAGAGAGATAAGATAGAGAGAGCGTAGGATAGAAAAAAAATTCAAGTAAAAAATGATTTATCAAAAAAGAGAGAGAGAGAGAGATAGATAAACAGAAAGTGAGAAAGAGATAGACAGAGATGGAAAGAGTGATTGAGAAAAAAGAGAGAAATAGGAAAGAGCGTAATATAGAGAGAGATACTGAAAGAAATTAAACGCTTCAGGATTGTCTGATTTGCGTGGAGTAGGTCCCTGTAAAATGCAAGATGGCCAGCGTCCCCAAAGTTGTATACGTATAATAATTAATATAACAAATGTAGTATAAATATGCATGTGCGCGTGCGTGCACGTGTATTGTTTTTTTGTCATTTCATTATTATTTTTTTTTTTTTAGCCAAAAAATATATATCTTATATACTGTTTATCGTATACTGTTAATCTACTCTCTCGACAAGGTCGATATTGTACGCTGTGACTGATATACTTCTGTTTTTTTTCTCAATATAATTTTTTTTTTACTTTGCTCGACAATGCATAATAGCGTGCGCGCATCTGCGAAATCGGTTTATATACTGGGCTGCGAAACATTATGCATGTATGAAGATAGACACACGCTCACGCACGATTAAATATATATATCAAGTGTAATACATACATATACAAAAATAGATATATGTATTTATGCGACATACCGATATGTATACGTGATATAGATACATGTGTGTGCGAACAACATTACAAGATCAGAGCGGGGATGAATTCGTCAATAAATTCTCAACGGATTATTTATTTTTTTTCTCTCACACATACCCACACACGTGTATCTATAAAACGGTAAAAATACATATCGACCCAAAGCCCCTAATCGGGGAAAACATGCAACATAAGAGTGTAAAGTGTTATATATAAAAGGTAAATGTAGTATATAATAGCCATAACAATCAATATAAAATGTAATTTAACAGTAAATAATTAATTGAATATCAACAATATAAATGTAACAGTATATAATAAATATATTGGGTGGCTGAGGATAGATTCAGAATAGGGGGCTGGGGTGGTTGGGTGGGTGGTGGTGGTGATATTGTCAGGGTGGACAGGACTCTGATGGATCTGAGACGTAAAAAACGTGAGGTGGTGCGAGGCATTGCGAATACCTCCAGGATCACTGTTTGTGTCTTGTTTGCGCTTCCTCTTCTTAGTTCGGTTGGTATTTGCGCGCGAAGACCAGTCAGGGTACAGCTGCATGTGCAACTGTCGTTCCCGTCGCGCCAATTCATAATACTTGGCCTGTTCTTCTCGCCCTAGCGCGTGCCACTACCGAGACAAAATTAGAAACACTTCGTTTAAAAAAGCAGCTTCTTCATCTCAAATTAACTAACAAATTTTTTTTTTTTTTTGCTTCAATTAATGTTGCTTTTTGTTTTAGCAATATATTTTTTTTTTGTTTCAATCTTTTTTATATTAAGGCAATCAAGACAAAAAATTCCACTAATGCTACTGCCACCACCCGTTCAGAATTATTATTAAAAATATCCAAAGTATTAATATATTGTCTTTAAATGACTGCTTTTACTCGAGTTAGAACTATACTATGCAAAGTAGGCTTTTTCTAAAATTCTATACTTCTATCTTATTCAAATTTTCATTCAAAACAATTTTTGTACACAATAGAGTTGTCGTTTTAACACTTGAGTCCCCAAGTTCCCTTTGAAGTGCTAGAAGAACAGCCTGAGACGCTCTCGGTCATAATTGGCTCATCAATCATTACACGTTTTTTTACTGCTCTGTAAGTTTTTTTTTTTATAAAACTATTGTCGTGTCTGAGCTGTGGCTGGATTATATAAAATTAAAAAAAAATCTTACAAAGAAACGTATGACTAGAGAATATCTCGTTCCTTTTAAAATAATTCATCATTACATTACATCTTAACGCACGTACCACAGTAGTAAAAAATTTGTGAAAAATACATTTATGAAATTGTCATTTTTCATTTACTTAATCGCTATAATCTTATAAAATGTCACTTAAAATCAACTCGACGAATACCGCTTCAGGGAGTTGGCCAGTTATTGCAATATTTTACATTACAGAGCGCGATAGAGAATAGAGAAAGAAAAAAAAGATTTTTGTAAATGCTCCACAAAACTTCCCACAGACAATCCAATCAAGTTCTTAAGGTAGAAAAATTAAATCTAAAGTCAATAAAAGTACACGTTAGATTTTGGCTGTTGCTGCAATCAGCTGTAAAGGGTTGCAGCTTAATAACATGTATAGAGTTTTTCTTTTTATATATCATATGACTTGAAAAAAACCTCGGTCTGTTTCAGCCATCAGAACGGTCTTATACACACCGGAGAGACGGAACAGAGAGCATTTTCATAATGTTTATTCACTGTATAACCGACTCATATAGTAAGCAGTTACACAACATCAGAGACTTTGATCGTTTCAATAATATGAGAACTATCACAGGTGAGATTAGAAATGTTAACAACACGTATATGCGCGACGAGCATTTCGACACGGCACATAAGTGTATGTAATAATGCATAGATTTTATTTTTTTGTTTTTCTTTTTTTTTTTAGAGATATGAATAGGGCCTGCTGTTCTAGCACTGAAAAAGGGTACCTCCGGCGGGATCAGCGGATCGCTCTTTCTTCCGTTTCTTCTTTTTGCTGCCGTAGCCATAGTTATCTCTAGCGCTCCAACCGGGATACTTTTGTTGGTGTAGTTGTCTTTCGTGCCTGGCTGCTTCGTAATACCGCTGCTGCTCCTCTCGACTTAATGAATGCCACTGCGTATACATATCCCCAAAATTTACAATAATATCCCATAACATAATCAAAGTATCTCTGTTTTTCTTTTAATTTTTCATATTTCCATATTTTCATATTTTCCATGTTCTTGAACCATTGAGAAAAAAATTTAAAAAAAAAAAAAAGAAAAGAAAAAAAAAGAGAGAACAACACCACTAGTCTAGAATTTAAATATAATTTGCAGTTCCTATAACCCCAACTCAATTATTAGTACTATCATACTGATTTATTTTGTGTTAGCTGTGTCGAAAACAACTCTATTACATTAATTTATCGTTTGTTTTTTTTTTCTCTAAAAAGCGTTAGACTACATGCGTTCGTTTAATTCGAGTCGATCGATTTCGAAGCTCAAAAAGCTTGACAATTTGTTTCTCAAAATCAAGTTTTTGCTCGTCGAAAGTACAGAGAAATAAACGTACGTTGAAACTCGTTTAAAAGTCAGCAAAAATTTGATTTTACAGTTTTAGTAGTAGTACATTTACATCAAGGCCGTTTTTTTTTATTATTTTTTTTTATCTTTTACTTTTTTAATTTTATTAGCAATTATCCCACAGCATTGATAGTGAAAAATTTTATCCTCGATGCCTCAATGTAAATTGATTCATTGTCTCTAAGGAGAAATGTACGTTGCAAACTTACCCTTCTCCCTAATATTTGGTTTATCGCAGCGCTTTCTTTTAAGGTACATTCGGCCACTACCTTTGCCCTCATCTCTTTCATATATAACATAAATGCATTTAAAGGCTTCTTTATGTGTGGTTTCTTTTTGTCTGCAAGAAGGAAAAAAATCATCGTTAAAATTGTAAATATATACCCAAAAATACCTGCAACGACTCTCAGCCGTGAAATTTTGCAAATCAAACATGTGTCGAGACAAAAAAAGAGTACGAACGAAAAATTTTACCTTGATTATTTTGTTGTCCTGTATCTTGATTTTTTGTATTGTCGGAAGGTAACGATGTCGAATTTTTGTGTTCTATCGTCGACCTGTGCGAAAAAACAGTGAGAGAAAAAAAAACAAAATTGATTAGTAAAAAATGTCGAAAAGTGGCATCAACAAGTTTATACCGTTGTTTGTAAAGCGCTTGTTTGTTATCGTGATTGGTTTGTTTGTGATTCGGCGAGGGCAGAGGATAATTGATAAGGGAATTGGGCGAATTCGACAGCTGTTCTGTGAGACCGTGATGATGATGATGATCGAAGTAGCCGTGAGGCGGCGGCGTCAGACCACCACCACCACCAGCTCCGCCGGAGGAGGGTGGCTGCTGCGGCGGAGGACTCCTGAGAAAGCTCGGAGGCGGCACCGGCCAGCTGAGCTGCTGCCACATACGGTGCCTCGCCTCGACCATCGCCAGCAGTTGCATGAAGTTCTGAGGCGCTCCGGCTGCGGCGGCGGCAGCATTGTAGTGCTGCTGCAGGGGGTTGTTGCCGTCGCCGCTGGCCGTCGAGGCCGTCGACGCCGCCGACATCTGCATGAGGCTGCTCATGTACAGCGCGGTGAGGAACTTCTGGTCCGGCAGGGAGTGCAGCGGCGAGTCCGCCGCCAGGTCGCACGCGGACTTGGCTGCCTCGTCGCGCAGTATCGTCATGTCGTCCTCGAAATTCGTCGTCTCGAGTCTATTGCTACCACCCCCGCCGCTCTCTTTGGCGTTGTTGCTCGTCGGCTGCTCGAGATTGCAGCTGCTGCTCCTCGGGGTGCTCGCGTCGCGCTCGCCGCTGTGTACACTGCTGAGATCCGTCTCGCTGGGATGATTGCTGGCGCAGCAGCTATCTTTTTTAATGACTAGGTTCAATGGCTCGAGGCATTCGGGCTCCATCGCAGTCTTGTACCCCTTTTGTAAATTGTAAATAAACAAACTCGATCGGCACTCTCGAGTCGCTCTCTCTGTCCCCAAACTTTTGTAGTATTGCACAATTTTATTTTATTTTTTCTACGATAACTATTACTATTATAATTATTATTATATCACACTGAGTCGTTGAGCTTTGGTCTCTCTCTCTCTCTCTCTCTCTCTCTCTTTGGCACTGGGTCTCATTCACGACGGCACTCGCGACGCGCGTAAACAAAGAAGACGACGGATGAGTTGTAGCGAGCCCGCTGCAGGATACTGATGCTGCTGCTTGGTATTAGGCCCGAATTCTTCTTCAACGATAACAGCGATCGCCAGCAACGCTCGTCGCACTCGATGATGATGCTGATGCTCGATGATGCACTCGCAGTCGTCATGCTCGTCTTCGGAGCAGCTCTTGTTGCTTTCGGATGAGCCTCTCATGTCTTGGCTGCACACTTCTCGGCCGGGTCAATGTACTCTTCTGCTAGGCCTACGTCGAGGAGTACGTACATGCCTTTCCGAGGCTACAACTCACAGCCTCGTCGTAGTCGTCGTAATCGTGTAGTCTTTCAAAGTATCAGCAGCCGTAGCAGTAGCTGTAGTAGTATAGTAGCAGCTTCGGCTCGTCGTCGGTGGTGGTGGTGGTGGTGGTGGCAGCGGGGGCTGGGGGCGCCATGGCAGTATATCGTCGTTTTCGCTCGCGCGCTGCTGCTCTCTCTCTCTCTCTCTCTCTCTCTTTCCAAGTGTGCACGATGTTTCGATTGATTATCCGAGCACTGCTGCTGCTGGCTGTGGGTGGCGGGCCGACGGCTCGTCATTGCGATTCATGGCGCTCTCTCTCTCTCTCGCGCTCGCGCGCCGTCTCTCCCTTTTGCGCTTTGTCTGCCGCAGCCACAGCAGCGCGTATATATCTCACGCCGCTAGGCTAGCAGCCCTAGTAGTATTAGTAGTAGTAACAGTAGTAGTTGCTGCTGCTGCTGATGCTATATTACTGCTGTTTGCTTTGCATCTGTGTGTTAGCCACCCGCGAGCCACCCTCTATCATCGCGAAAAGGACGAGCGAGCGAGCGAGCGAGGAGCGCGCGCGGGGGGTGGTTGCGTTGGCTGCGGGCCGCGAATCGCGCGCGCCAGATTCTTTTGGCGGGCTCGAGCTCGGCGTGGGTGAACTCCTGCGATCTGCTATCTAGAGCTCCTTGTCATTAATTCGTTACATACGGAGAGCACACCCATGTGCCAATGTGCCGCAATTACTGATGATAATTTTTCGAGATTCTCCTCGCCTCCTGCGATGAAAAAATTTCTTCGTTGCGAATAACGAGCGCGCGTATTATAACATAGAGATAATACACAACGGAGCGCATCAAGCGCGCAAAAGCTGCTCTGGGCTCGCTCGCGTCGCTCCCCCTCTATATTATACATATATATGGAGATAAAAAGCGAACGAGCGAGCGAGAGAGAGAGATGCACTCGTCATATATAGCACAACAGACAGAGCCAGAGCGAGAGTAAATAATGATCGATACGCCGTCGGTGACTGCGCGCGTTATATACGTATATAAACGAGAAGAAGCAAGATGGGCCATCATAGCGCAGACGCTCTTTATCTTCTTCTTTCTCTCTCTCACTCTCTCTCTCGCGCTGGCCCCATCATATCTGTCTCTGTTTCTCGCTGCGCAATGCTATGTATATGCGATTGTGTGCGATGCGCGTGCGGAATTGTACAGAATCGTTGATGCGCCGTCGTTGCGCATGTTGCTGCTGCTGCCTGATGCTATGTGTGCTTTATCTCTCTGCTGCTGCTGCTGCTGCTTGTGTGTCCATCCGTCTTTAATCGCTCAGCGGCTCGCTCGTTGTTGAAATATACGATCACCGTGCTACCCTCGCACGGTGTTTTGCCAAAGCCAGACGCGAACGGGGGGGTACAGCATAGGGGGGGTGTAGTAGCTCAAGAAGCTCCTTCCCTTATCGCACGATGCGAATACAGCTGCTCGGCGATATTTATATAATATCTGTAGCCCACCATCGGCGGGGGTTAGTTTTCTTCTTTATCGGCTCATGGGGTGGGTGCGCGCGGTCGTTTACTTGGGGAGGATATATATGCTATATATTCGGAATGGAATCGTAGGGTGCGTGGAGTTGTGCGTTGTCGGATTATCGACGGAAGCCGCGTTATAGTTTCGAGCTTTTGGATCGCTCGATTATAGATGTCGCGTGATGTTGCTCGTCGAATTCGTTTAAGGATGTATAGGTGAAAAATCGTGTAAGGTTGGATGTATTTTATTTGAAAAGCTCGGGGATATTATAAAGCGTGCGAAGATCAGAGAGCTGCGCGAAACGAGAGAGAGATGAAAGGAGTGGGGCATGTGGCTTGTTTGAAGAGTGTGAAGCCAAGGTCAAAAGAGAGAGATGTATCGGAGGAGACAGGGAGCGAGAGAGTGAATAAAAAAAAAAGGAAAAGGAGAGAAGAAGAAGGCGAACGAGAAGGAGTAAATTGACGAGGCGAGGAATGGAAATTGAGGGATATATAGAGAGAGAGAAGGCATAATTCGACGAGTCGCAGATACACACATGTATACGCGAGAGTAATGCACACGATATACCGGTAATGCGCATACAGCGTGGATATATATGTGGAAAGAGAGAGGAGTAGGGATCGGATCGGATCGGATCGCGGCTGGTGTTGTTCGATGCGTATAGTATATAACATATTATATATTTTTCGTTCTCACCTGTGATTATGGTCGAGGCTCGAGTGGTCCGCCTTAGGGGCGGACGAGACGAGAGCGTGCGACGCGAGCGCGTGCGCGTGCGTGCTCAGGCCCGGGTGAGGCGGCATCAATCCCGTCGGCGAAAACCGGTAGAGATCGCTGCGCCAACGACGAAGACGAGGACGAGAACAAAAAAAAACATATAGTTAGCGATTGCCCATGTATGGTCAGTATATGTTTAGTATATCGCAACGCACACATTTATTACATTATAAATATATAAATAAGTATACGCGCGCTATATTATATAGGATAAAAAAATATGTAAAAAAAAATATTGTAACGCGTGAATTAATAATGAGTCGGTACTTTACGAGGTATACTGCTTTACTCGAGGCTCGCGAGTCTCGTATTTATCGAAGCTGAGTGGGCGCGCAGTTTTCCTCGACCGATGTGATCGCTATAAGCGACAGTCGCGGAATTTTCATATACGCCGCGATAAAATACCTTCGTATATAAGCGCGCAGCTCGAGCTTAATACGACTTTATATTCATACATACATATGTATATTCGCGCTGCGTTATTGATAAAATACAGCGTAGCCGCGCGCGCAACTCTTTCACGCTCGAGCTGCGGATTATCGGCCCCCCGTATATGAGCACAGCCGATACGAATAAACGTACACGCGTACTTGGACGCAAGGAAAAATAAAAATAAAAAAAAAATAAAGGAAAATAAAAATAAAAATAGCTCGGCTGTGTGCTGTTGCTGCTGCGGCAATGTATACGTATTATATATAGCAATGTTAATAATAACGATAATAATAACGTGTATACATGGTACCAACCTGGGTAAACTGGAACTGCTGATAGGTAAACTCGTGGGGTAGGGACTTCGGAAGCCGGCGCTGGCCGGCGAGATCGGGTACATGCTCGGCGTGTGCCTGTAAAAGCAAGTGGAGAGAGAGAGAAAATCACTCGGTCGCTCGAGAAATTGCAAGTCCTTGTGTGTGTCAATGTGTGTAAATTTCTATGTGTGTGTGTACAGGGGGCTAAATATAGAGCCACCTGCGTCGTCGACGACGAGCATCGCTCTTTCTCTGCGCGCAGTGTATATCGTACAGCGTATATCATTATATACATGCACACGTCTGTCCTCTTCGGCGCGCAGACACCGTCTCGGAGACGCGCACTGCACAGACGAATTGCTGCTATTACGTACATGTAGCGTCCGAAAAATCGAGCAAAAACGAACTATTTCGGACGATCGCGTAATCGAGCAGCAACGGCAGTGGCAGCAGTTAGGATCTAATCAGCCGTGAAAACTCTCGATTGTGGCCTGTGCGCGATCATCGGCTCTTTCCCGTCTCGTTCTCGGCCTCCGCAGAAAGTAAATAACAAGTTGCCACTGCTGCTGCTGTGTACATGCGACGTCTCCTCTCTCTCTCTCTCTCTCCTTTAAGTAGCTCGTCTCGGGCGTCTCTCTGCTTGAGTAGCCCTATACTACTAGCCGATCGCCGAGTACTCGCTCTAATAGACCGGAACCAAGTGTACAGAGAGAAAGAGAGGATAAGCGGCGCAATACTGTACATGTGTGTGTGTGTGTGTGCGCGCATGTAATACGGAGACCTCGGGATTGACTCCGAGGGGGAAGAAAAGAAAGAAAAAAAAAGAGCTCGTTGCGTGTAAATACGTGTATTATATGCGTGAACGCGGTATCGAGTTGGCGGGGTCAGTTTTTTTTTTCTTTCGTAATACTTACCAAGACGCAGCTACCTGCGACATGTCGGGACTGAGCATCGGATACGGATACTGCCCCGTAGAAAATGGATACATCGGCGCCCTCGTGAGACCTGCGAACACAGTACGAAATTATGATTAGCGTGCGAATTATCATTCAGAGCTTTATTATTATTATTTTTCAAAAAATTGACCAAAACGCGACGATTCGTCCTTTACGTTTAAAGAGACGATGCATACTACCCTCGGCATACAAGGAAATCTTTTGCGGCCTCGCGCGACTCTAAGCAAACAAGCGCGAGACGACGACAGCCACAGAGACAACGTTCTTGCTCGCAAGCTCGCCTATTTGTTGTTTGCACGCGGGGAAATGACAATTTTTTTCTTTATTCCGAACCATCGCACGGTATCATCGAACCCCGGCCTGCAGCGGTGTTTATGTGTACATAATAATACGCCTTTCGGCGCGTCCACCCACCCGCTCTCCTATATGAATAATTTCCAAGGGCTAGGAGAAGCGCCAGGAGCGTCATCTGTTTACAGTAAGAGAGAGAGATGGAAAGAAAAATACGAGGAGTTATAGGGCCAGTGATACAGGCTCGGCGCCGGCTACCGGACCCTGCGCGCCCGAGTGCACGAGTCTCTCTCTCTATACACAGATACATAGTATAGCGCCGCGCGTGTCTTGTATATATACACACACACGCATCTCGATGTACAGTACGAATTTGTGCGTGTGCCCTTCGTATACACACATAATACTTGCACGGGAGGGGTGAGAGAAGCCGATTCCGGTGCCTGGCAGCGTATTCAGCATGAACGGTATTTAAGCGAGATCAAAGAAGCCTCGCCCGCCCGAATCGAGAGAGAGATAGAGAGACGTAGCGGACGAGGGAGCTAGCAGCAAGGTGGATGTATATATCATGCGTATATTATAGATCTGGCGAAAAGGTCTACTAATACTACTACTACTACTGGCACATGTCGAGTCTCCGCGTGTCCCGCACTACTCCACGCGCAACGCACCCCCCGCGTGCATATATTTGGATATTAGGGATGCCGCATATGGGCGCAACTGTATATATATCTCTCTGTGTAACGCAGTGAGATACATCGTGTCCACTCGTTGCGCAGCGCGCATACTCGTACGAGTCGAGTAGTTGTGAATATTATATATATAAAAAAATCATATCATAAAGGTACTCGATTTAACGCCTAACTCGATCCATTATCATCGTATACGCGTCGCGAGTATACACATTAGGAAGAGTTTGGAGTACGCGTGGCTTATTAAATGGCTATGTGTGTATACGACAAAGCTCTCCCATGTATGCGCGCGCGCGCGCGCGGCCAACCGAAGCGTCGTATACCCCGACCGCATTCGTGTGTCCATATAGTTATGATATTAGAATCGCGTGTCTGTATACGTTTGAATGCTCGTTGTGGCGCGTTGTGTGTTGGCACGACTATACGGGGTCAGATGATGAGCGCCGCGCATAGCCGCATTCGCGTACACACATACACACCTGGTCTAACAGGTGGCTGGGCTATATTATGGCTACAAACGACTGCTGCTGCTGCTGCTCTGCTTCTTTCCTGTTGTGCATGCACTGACAGCACTGAGCACTGCGAACTGCACACTGCACGCGCGGCCCGTCTACATATAATACGTCGTCGTCGACGTCGTCGTGCAGAACACAGCCGAGCACGTAATTACCTCCTTTTACATCGGCTAAATATATACACGCGCAGCTACGGTGGCGGCGGCAAGGATATATATGGGTCAAAATAATACTTTTTTACAAAACCGTGCGCACGTATGTCACCGATCTTGACGCGCTTTTGGTATGTTATAGTACATGGTAAAAAGGTCCCAAAAAAAAATTTTTAGACCCCCTCCCCCCTCCTACCCCCCACTTCCGGTATAAACGTCCATTTTCGATCTATAT